CATACATCTGTACGACACATCAGCGCAATTCACACTATAGGCAATCTGACGTGCTTTAAGCATATGAAGACTTGTTCAGGATCAAGACTTAAAAGGCTACTAACTGAGGAGACAGCTCGGTACTTATTCTGGTCAGAGAAAGATAACCGGAGAAGGGAGAGTCAGGCAGTCGGGGCTTTCCTATTGTGACCTTTAAGGTACCCTCGTGCACATGAAGTCCGAATCGCCTTCGTTAGAGTCTTGCACATGTAGTAGGGACCGGGTCGGACTACTAAGCTTCATCGACCACTACACCCCTCATTGGGGACAAGTGAGTGGAGAGGGTGCGGTAGATGTTTTACAAGTCTGTCTCATCCTGGTCAGAGTGAAGAAACCGGAGAAGGGAGAGTCAGGCTGTCGTGGCTTTCCTATTGTAGCCTTTAAGGTACCTTCATGTATATGAAGTCCGAATCGCCTCCGTTAGAGTCTTGCACATGTAGTAGGGACCGGGTCGGACTACTAAGCTTCATCAACCACTGCACCCCCCATTGAGGACAAGTGAGTGGAGAGGGAGTGCGGTAGATGCTTTACAAGTCTGTCTCATAATAAACTAAGTCACGAGCAAGTTACCGATGGTGTGACTGATACATGGGCTACCTGACGGTCACCCTTCTTTGCGATGGTCGGTTGAAAACTACAGACAAATAGTCAAATGATGAAGGGTAGACTGAAGTAGGAGAGTTTACAATGTAGGTTACTAAAACAGCCTTGCACATGTAGTAAAGGCCGGGTCGGACTAATAAGCTTAATCAACCCACTTGGGTTTAATTTTTGTGGGGCCCTAACAGCAGCCGTAGCAGCGAGCAGTCTGGGCAGATACCATTGCCGGCAAAAAAAAGCGGAGACTGGAATGGTCATGGCTTATTAGCCATCGTCAGCCAATCATTCCAAGACCTAATTGGTGCACCACCTGAGGCTCGAACTCGCGACCTCTTTATCAGAGTCTAACGCCCTGACCATTGAACTAGCTTAGGTCGGAAGATATTGACACTCGTTGACGAACTTTCACCGACCGCTAACGGAACCAACTTGTCCTGCTCCGGCTTTGCCTTGGGCCTAATTCCTCGGGCCCTAACAGCAGCTGTAGCAGCGAGTAGTATGGGCAGATGAGAATTATCCTACTAGAAGCAGCGAAGACTGTACTCTACAGATACGTATTATACGTATTCATGCGTGGAAGTAGAGAAGACAGCTGTACTGGCCAAAAATTCGAGTGTTTACTATCCGACCGCGGACTGCTCCAGGCGCACACGAAAACGAGTGAACTATTTCCCCATCTAACTCAGTGGTCCCCTATGGCTCCCCCCATGAAAATGCCGTAGAGATCGCCGCCTCAGGTCCAGACATTCCTTACGTGGGGGCGGTAGGTGGTCAGTGAATTATGGAGCATTTTGCCGACGTATCTGCCGATTTCATTTGTGCCAGCGCGACAGAGTCCTAACGCCGACCTACAAGACTAATAAAAGCAAGAATCTGTTCAGCACTGTGCGCACAAGGCATGACATTTAACTGCCTGAGACTAGCCCGTGGGCACGTAGACGTAGACCAAGGCTGACCAAAGCAAGCGTCCACGCCCAGGTTCGCGCAGAAAGCAAGGAGGGGCGCTTTTTGGAGGATGAGCGCGGCAAACAGTGCGGTAGTTTTGCTGGCATTCAGTTGCCGGCTGACGGTCGTCGACTATGCGATTAAATTGCAGCAGTTTGCTTTCCTCAAAAATTAATCGCAACATAAAGTAAAGCAGTCATAATTAAGGTTTATGTGCACAGACCGAAAATCAAGAGGAGCATTTGGACCGAGGTATATTAGCCATAGAGGGATAATCACGTAGTAGTCATTAAGCTGACAACAGGCAGCCAGTAGTACATACTGAGGTTACAAGAAACACCAAACTGGAAGCACAGGTGCTAGCTAAAGTTCAGGCACGTGGTTTGGCGATGTTTTCTATTCAACTCCATCGACATCTCTAATTTAGAGTAAATCAGTAGCAGATGCGCGTACACCGATCTGTTAGAGGACCCAC